GCAGTCTCATCCCTTTGCGGTACATTAGTGGTTAGGATGGGATGGGTTAGTAAGAAAAAGAAATTGTTAATTCCCATGATACTGAAATAATATTCAGTTACAGAACAGAATATAGCACTTGGGTAGTATTTCAAAGACACATTATTAAATAGTTATTTATATTGCATACTCGCACAATAAAGTGAGTACCTTGCTCTACTAGCTTTGTTTGTATGCAAGTTAAATGTGACAAGACACACATGTTTAAAACCTGTGTTGGCAGAACAAATGTTCTGTATTTTGGCAGATACAAGCAGGTGATGAACATCAGGGATTGTAGAGGAATATCCATGTTGTACTTCGTGTGTGGTTTGTAGGTCATTCTATAAGATCTTTGTAACTTTTTCAAACCACTGCTAACCCTGACTGAAACTGAAGGTCAAGTTTAGATTTTTAAGAAAACACTGGAAAACAGGAGTTAATCTTATAATAAAGATATAGGTAGTATAGTATTCTAGCCAGCTGCCTTTTCTTAGTAGACTGGGATTAAGCAGAAAAAACTGATTCTAATTTATATTCCTAGAACACACTTCTATGAAGTGGGATTTTATGTTGAATTAAATGCCGTAATAGGCATGAATTTTCAAACAAACTTACATGAACATGTAGCTTGACAGAATGTTCATGTGTTACAAACTCCTTTGCCGGATTTTCATTGTACAGTTTAATCTGCCTGTACTTCCCCAACCTGAAGACCTAAAAATTGAATGGAAATAAAACTGAATATTATATTGTCTCAGGATTTCTTTTGATCCCCTTTGGAATGCTTTGGGGCTAGTAACTCTTAGTTTTGTGATTTCAGTTGCCTTTTCAGAAAATCACATCTGATTTATTTTAGGTTTTATTAAATACCAGGAAGCATGATCTTCTCCTGTTTCCTCTGCACTGGGAAAAACTTCATAGCTCAGCAGGTGCTTTACCTGAGAGTAAAATGACATGGTAAACCTCCTCTTCAGTTTGTTTTGTTTGTATTTTGTTGCCTGGAGCAGTGAGTACATGGTTTTCCAGTTCAATTACTGTGATTTTCTGTCAGATTTATTGTTGGTGAACTGGATGTAAGCATACTTATTATGTAGATGGGACTGTCTCCATAGTGCCATATGGATATGAAAATGTAGCTGGGACAGCAGGCTGAAGCAGGTGCGTCTTATAGTCATGTTTAGTTAGCATTTATCTATAGAACTACCTATTCGACCCTTTCAAGTGTCCCAAACTCTGTTGCATTTCCACAATTTTGCTGATGGTCTACTGATGCTTTTCAAGCCTGGTGAAGGCTGCACGGGATAAAACGGGCTGTGTGGCCCACCCAGACAGTGAGGTGATGGGAACATGCCAACAAACACTCGGAAGGCAGCAGCCCTGGAAGAAGAACAGGCTTGCTATTTACTAGCACTTGTATTTTCCCCTTGAGTCAGAGCACAGCGCAGGGGAAAGTGCTCTAGCAACTTTCCTCCTGTGAGTTCCACCAGCTTCTGCACTTGCACACTGACCCGCAACAAGCAGGAGGTCAAATCAGTGTGTTTGAAATGGCTAGTTCTGTGCTGGCTGTCTCTGCTGTGTATGATGGGATGACAAGTCAAGGGGAGCTTTCAATTGGTGCTGCTTAGGCATTCCTCTTTGTTGTCAGTTTTCTGGAGAAGGCTAAATGTATTTTAACCCTAAGAGGTGTGTTTCGTTACACTATACCTGGAAGAATTCTTTTGTAAGGAAGAAAGGGAGTTTAGAACTGCTTTCATAAGACAAAGTAGAAATAAAAAAGGGATTTAAAAAAATATTCTGCCCCTCATGTTCTCACAGACAAATTCTGTCCTCCGATTGTAGTTTCTCTCTACAGTCTGTTGGACCCATCTGGTTCCCTCAAAAGTTGACCTTTTTCTTGCTCCTGAGGCTTACCTGGGCTTGTTCCCTTGCGTATTAACAATCCCCAGGTGTCTTAACAACTTAGAAACTCCTAGCTCCTTTCATGGTCCCTTTCGCACGCCCCCACACTGAGATCTGGAAGTGTCTCCTTGCAGCAAGAGAGGTTGTTCAAAGGTCAGACCCATCTTCCCCCTCCCCACAAGGCCCCACCTGACCCAACACTTTCTCCCCAGAGGAGCAGAATGTGCACCCAGTTACACGTCTGGGAAGTGCTGTCATGCCCTATGTCTTCACTCCAGGCTTACTCTTTTCTACAGACTTGCAGGATTTATATAGAAAAATTCAAATACATGCAATCGGGGGCGGGGAGGAAACTTGTTAGCTATTCATTGTGCAGGCAGAAATGGGAAAAACTGCATTACTAATAGAACAACATTGCAGTCTGTGTAAGCATAAGAGAGTGAGATTGTGATGCGAATTTGAGGGAATGGATGTTGTGTCAAGATGGCTAGACCTCCGTTGCTTCAAGCTGTTAGAGACATGTTAGAGTGTACGTTGGATGTAGACCACAAGTGCCTTTTGATTTATGTTTTCATAGGTCCTTTTCCTGGTTTCTGCCTGTGTTTTCAGTCTATGACTATAGTCATGTCGTCCTGATTCACTTAGTAATAACCTGGCGCAGTAGCATTAATGGTAGTGTCATATGTGCGTCACTAGATGAGAGTATTTAGTGTTAAGAGCTTACTGTGATTTGGTCATTAATATATTTATTACCAGTCGTTAAAGGTCTAAAATCAATTAGTAGGAAAAGGTTAGAGAAGGTGTGCTTAAACTGGTTCTTTTCAAATGAACTGGGCCCAAAGGAATTCACCCTAGAATACCTAGAACAGTGCCTGAAATAATGACATAGACATTAGTGCTTATCTTCTCCAAACTTCTGGAAATCGGATGAGATTATGGAGGCCTGGAAGTCAACATCTATTTCTCAAAATTGGGAAAGGATTAGCTAAGGGAGGATTATAGGTCAGCTAGTTTAACATAATTCCGGGGAAAATATTGAAACAAGTAGATTATTAAACCTGAACAATGATGAGGAGAGGAGAAAAGGCTAACATAAATTGATTAAGCATAGCTTCCAATTGATAAATCCTGTTTCTTCCTGACAAGGTGACAGGTCTTCTGGGTGGAGGTGAAAAAGCAGATGACTTAGATCTTCTTTCTATTAAAGCTTTTTAAATAGTTTAGTTCAGTCTATCTGGCCCTAGCTTACTATGAGAATGTCATGTGAGACTGCATTACCATGAATGATAACCTGCTGGAAAACCATACTCACTAACAAAAGTTATTAAGAGACTCACTCGATTGGAAAACAAATTTCAAATTTTAAAAAAAATGAACCTGTAGAAGCCTGTATTTGGATACTAGTTCATGTTTTTAGCCAGAAAATCTATGTGTTAGAGTAGAGATTGTACTTTTAAATTTGAAGATAAAGGCAAAAGAAGTTGGAAAAGGGATTTGAGTACATCAGAAGATACTGGATTACAGTTCAGAATTATCTTGGATGTATGGGAGAATTGTACTGCAAGAAGGATATGAATTTTTTTAGTGACAAATACAGAGCATGATGTACTGGCAGGAATAATCATCTGAACAAATACAGCACAGGGGTAGTTACTGACTGGACAGCAGTTCCATAGAAAAGTTGTACAGGGGACACTGAGTAACCTGAATTACGTTCAGCTTTACTAAGTATTTGAAAGATTTTGACCAAGGTCATGGTTATCACTAGAGAGAGCTTGTAAAAAAGCAGTGAGAAAAATAAGGCAGCTAACTTCATATTGGAAAGAGGAGAGGGAACAACAAAGCTGATGCTAAGAGGGAGAAAATGTCTCTTCTTTTTTTTTTTTGTGGGCAGGAGAAATGAAATGAGCTGAAATTAAAGTGAGAGAGATTTGAGTGTTAGACATTAGAAAGAAGACTTATGATGATATAAATATCTGGTGAAAGTGTGAAATTGTAATCTAGAGTAATGAACAAGGCACAGATCTTTTGCGAGGGGCCCTAAGGTTGCATGTTCCTGCTGGTGGTGAGGAAGGCACTACGTGGCCTCCTGAGGATTCTCCCCACCTGGGATTCTTCTGGTTTCAGCGGACCTGTCAAAGAAGGCACATTCTGAAAACAGAAAATCTTTAAGCAATTAGAAGACACTTGATGGTCACATTTTTCTCAACATTCATATTCAAAATTGTTTGCTTACTTTTTACTAAGCTTCATGTCCTCAATTTACATTACTAACACTGGCTCTTAGGCAAATATTGCTTGTAACTTGCTCCTGTTTTCCAGGTGACAGAAGTGGTATTCAGAAACACAATCTTGTTCAGAGTATAAACTGAAACCACAAGGATGTAGTAGTTGACTGAAAGATATGAGTTGTCAGCTAAGTGAAATTATAGTGAATGTCATTCACTGTGTTTATTGAATATATAATTCACCGTAAATATATATAATTAATAAATTACTTAGTCATCAATTCCAGTACTACATATGACCCTAAATGTTTTTGTCCCTAGCAATGATGCTTTTCTTGCTGGCTGGCAGTGGAATTGCATATTTCATGGTCTTCTCTTTTGTTACAGGTTTTGGGCTGGATCCGAAATGGAGAGTCAATGTTAAATGCTGGGCTTATCACTGCTAGCTCTTTGCAGGAGGCAGAACAGTTACAGAGGGAGCATGAGCAGTTTCAACATGCAATAGAGGTAAAAGCACCATTTCAGTGACCATAGCCAAGAACTCCTGTATTACAGTTCATGAGTCTCTGTAAATAGCACTGTTGGGTTCACACTACAATATTTTGAGTTTAGAAAATGCTGTTGAAAACACCTTATGGCAAAGAGATAGAAACACTTACTGGGAAGATGGGGTTTGTGTTCATTTTGGAGCTGCAATTCCAGGTGAACACATCTTCTCAGTACCTTTTTGCATCTTTGTAAAGTGATAGCGGTTCACAGTAATTTTACTGTAAGTGGTATTTCTCTTTGTTATAATACAACATACAGTGCTAATTGTTAAAGTTAAGAATAAATCAAACGCAAATATCAGTTTTGTGTATTCTAATATGGTCCTTTGATGTTTCCATTTTTGTTTGACAGTAGGTTTCACTGAAATTTGTGTGTGGTGGTGTGTTCATCCTCCTGCCATGACTTCAAACTAAACATCAGATTGGTCATACTTCTACAAAAATAGACAGAGATCTTAAGATTGAATGAAATCCAGTATTAATAATTTATATGCACGATTGAGGGACTTACAGTGATATTGATTATATATAGCATACTTTTTTTGAGAACTTTACTTTTGTTGAAAGATTAACCAATGTTATGATTGTTTGGGAAAACTTTTCAGAAGTACTCTGTCTTACAGTAACTCTTTCACATTTGTTTGCTATTCGGTGGAGTTTCATGCTTCCCCTCTCTTCTTTTTTGTTTGTTTTTGGTTTTGTTTTTTGGTTTTTTTACAGTTTCCACTATATGCACTCTCATTTTGAGAGCTTTGGTAACTGTTAAGTATAAAAATCATGAGACCTCCAGGTGTTTGTCACTTTAAGAATAAATTACTAAGGACTGTAAATTCTTTGTTTTCTGGGTCATTCTGTACTTGGATATAATTATACTTATTATAGTTAGAGGTTCCAGATTTTAGGCAAGTATATGTTTACACAGAGAACTACAGTTAAAAATTTCCTTACAGTGAATGGAGAGTTCTCTTTTGTATTGGCCTGCGTGCCTGCACCTTCATTTGCTCACTACTGATGTGCAAAAAACTGCAGTAAAACTGTGAGAACAGTGATAGCAATCAAGCCAAAATAATCCTTCCTTACCATGAAGGGAAAGAAAGTCAACCTGAAATTCATGATTATAACAAAGTGTACTGCAACATAGAAATGCTGCATGTGGCTTAATGCTAGACAGTGGCTATTGCTTACAAATTGCTAGTCATTGTTGATTTGATGATAAATCTCTACAGGATTTATTTCCTTTCTATTTGCATAGTGAAGTCATGCAGTGACTAATACTAGACAATTATTTTTAGTTGATGGGGAGTTGTGCATGTGTATAGAAGTGTCATTGACACAGTGGAAACAGGAACCTTTGAGGTCTTCAAGAAAATGAAGTGCTCCATTGAACTCCTGAATTTTTGCCTCTTGCCAGAAAACGCATCAAAGTGCCCTGCAGGTTAGCAATGCTGCAGGCTAATCACTATGATATGGATATGATCCGTGAGTGTGCAGAGAAGGTTGCTTCCCATTGGCAACAACTGATGCTGAAGATGGAGGACCGTCTCAAGCTTGTGAATGCCTCTGTTGCCTTCTATAAAACTTCTGAACAGGTACAGAAATGCTACATGATCTGTGTCTGCCTTGATTAATTCTTCAGTGTGGCATAAATCAGCATTACCTAAAAGAAATGGTTGGCTGGGTTTGGTTATATTTACTAATCTGATAACAACTGCAGTTACACGAAAAAAAATGCAAAAAGCAAATCCTCTTACCAGCTGCCTTAGAAAGAGAAACCATGTGTTGCAGCCTTTCAATGTATAAATGGGTCTTATAAGACAAAAACTTTTTACCAAGGCCTATAGTGACAGGACAAGGGCCAGTGGTTTTAAACTGAAAGAGGGTAAATTTAAATCAGATGTAGGGAAGAAATTATTTTACGATGAGAGTGGTGAGACAGTGGAACTGGTTGGCCAAAGAACTTGTGGACACCCCATCTATGGAAGTACTCACTCAGGTTGGACGAGGCTTTGAGGAACCTGATCTAGTGAAGGGTGTTGCTGGCCGTGGCAGGGGGGTTGGACTACAGATGAGCTTTAAAGGTCCCTTCTAACCCAAACCATTCTATGATAAATGAATAGTAGACAAATGATACTAACTGCTAAGAGACTAGAGTGTAACTGCTCTGACTGCACTTGCTTCCATTAGCAAACTTCAACAAAAGTATATTACCAAAGTGCAGTGATTATTGGTGAAGACTGAAATCTTCATCTGCCTCTTCTATCACTCTCCCCTTTAATATTCCTCAGCTTCTTATTTTTAATTGACAAAAGTCTTGTAGAACATTTTCAAGATGAAACACTCTGTACAAGTGCTTAGTTGAGTTTCTGCTTGTTTCAAGAAGTTTTGCTTAAACCATAAACAAGTTACACAGAAGTTTTAATGGAAGTACTTCAGATGGCTAATTCTGTTTTTTGTGTGAGAGAGAAAAAGCAGCTTCATCCTACTTGTCCACACAACAGTTAGGGGGAAGGCTGGCAAGATTACTTCCTCTGCAGTTTTAAGCTCCTCCTGAACTATGCTGTTACAGTGGCAGAGAAAGATGTGCAGCTTTAGGGATACCTTTCTGAGCAATTCCATATAAGCAGACCAGTGCTTGCAAACCTACAGCCAAAGTTTGTTACCTTCTCTTAAGTCCCAGTCAAAACATGTCAGAAGCTAAGTTATATGTAAGGAGTAGTTTGATTTTTCCAGGTTTTTTTGCTTTAATTTTGAATTTTTATCTTACTGAGTTATATATGAGTTGGACTCCTTTTTCCTGATAGGTGTGCAGTGTGCTGGAAAGCCTGGAGCAAGAATATAAGCGAGAAGAAGACTGGTGTGGGGGAGCAGACAAACTGGGTCCCAACTCTGAAACAGATCATGTTACTCCCATGATAAGCAAACACCTGGAACAGAAGGAGGCATTCCTAAAGGTAAGGTTTGCCATTTTTTGCGGTCTTGGGTGTCTTGGAAAGCATGCAGTCAAACGCTTACTCTTACAGTGCTGAAATGTATGTGGAAATCAGCAGTGCCCATTCAAAAGCTACAGTTATGTCCCAAGCTGCAAAGATGTGGGAAGTAGCACATTAACTGCTTCTGACAGTGATTAGGAGAATACTGCCAAGTGCATGAAATTGTAGCCAGTTTTATAAATATATTTCCTGTTGAACTTCAATAGATGTCAGTTCTCCCACTGTGACTGAAGAGGAATTGGGAATCACTGCTTTGAGGAACTGTCATTCTAAAGAATGCTAAAAGGCTGCTGCTTTGGAAGAGAAGTGACAGTCACATAGTGCCTTTGCTGCCTGTGCATCAGAGCAGCTCTCGGATGTGCTTGGACTACAGTAGAGTATGGAAGGAGGAAATTGGTAGACAAGTGTCTGGGAGTGGTTGGGTTTGTGTAATAGTCTGCAGATGAACAAAAAACCTTTCATTTCAACTAATGTCCTAGTGAAGAAGGTTATTGATCATACTGAATAAATGGGTAATGGGTGCTTGCAAATCAGTGTAACTAACCCTGTAACCAAAGGCTTTTCCAGCATCACCTTGGAAGAGTACTAAGAGTATAAAACTTATTTTTATTAAAAACCTTATTGTTCTCAGTGCACAGATGAGAACATTCAAAAACATATTAGCATACCTCTAAGTATACTGTCAAATAGATCTTTCTGCAGCTGGCATGTGAGTTACCAATCTTTGTTTTAAAACAATGTAAGAAATGACTTAGTGTCTTTGTTACTGGATCGAACCATGCTACCTTTATCTAACCTTTTAAAGTAGCATTTCATGTTCTGCTTGTTAAAAATAAGGCAGCCAGCCCATATGTAGTACTTGGTGTACGTTAAGGTGAAGATGACAGCTGAGCTGAGTGTTGGCAGTGCAGCAGCAAGGACTGAAAGCTCTCAAGGCCTTGTCTTAATATTTTAAGGGCAAGTCTTAATATTTTGGCACTTTTGGTTTCACTTCAGTGGAGCATTTATTTTTTGTTTGAAGTACTGGTGGATGTTTTGGAATATCCAGGTGAGTACATAAGCATGTGCACTGTGTTTACGCAATAAATAACTTCAAGTGGCACATACATAAACCAAACTTCTCTGTAAGCTCTGAGTCGTGCTGAAAGCTCTAGAGCAGGTAATTGCTTTTCAGGATCTTCAGATAAAAAGGAATAGCATTTTATTTGGATTTTTGTTTTTTGTTTCTGACAGATAAGTAAGGATTAACTACTATTTGTTAGGAAAACTAAATGGTTCGGTTGGCTTTCTTGTAGAAGGATTTAACAAGCAATACTTTCCAAAATCATTTTGTGAGAAATGCACAAAAGGGCGGTGAGGAAGGTCCTTCATCTCTTTCTGGATGTATATTTTTGCATCTTCAAATATAGTAATACCACTGACTCTCTAGGCTTGCACACTGGCTCGGAGGAATGCTGATGTCTTCCTGAAATATCTGCACAGGAACAGTGTAAATATGCCAGGGATGGTGACACACATCAAAGCACCTGAACAACAGGTCAAAAGTAAGTGGTTTCTTTTCTTTTGTTTTCTTCAAAGAATGTGATCATCATGTGCTCTGGTGTGTGTGATGATGGGGGAGTGAAACCTGCCCAAGTGGAAAGGGTTCTGTCAGGCTTAACAGTGAATAATTAAAATTGCTTGCACACTTTGAAGGAACTGCCAGTCATCAAATTCTCATATTCCTAAGTGAAGTTGCTTTGAATTCTGTTATCTCCCACTTACACTTAATCTTCTTTCCTTTTGAGACTCAAATGTGCTGCTTTTGTTGAGAAAATGAGATAGTAAACTTCCACATGGTAATGTTTGGTCTGAAGCCAAATGGGAGCCGATCACTGTAAGCTTACTCAATGTGTTAGTGTGGTGCATTCTGCGAGTTCCTTGGGAATGACAGCATGGTACACAATAATCCCTTGAACAATGCCCTTGGGCCCTTCAGTGGTTGAATCAGTATTAAGGAACTTCATGAAGTGTAGGATGACTGACATCATGTTTAAATTAGATGTGTAGATAGGCAATAGCTGAGGTGAGACAGGAGAGAACTATGACATGGAGCTTGACTATTGCTGGGATCAATTTGATATAGTGCAGCTTTAAGGTACACTTGCGTTGTGGGGAATGGAGTAGAGAGAGAAATCTGTAGGGCTTTCAGGGACAAAACCACAGAAATTCATAGGGTATGCATAACTGGTGGGTAAGGTAGGCAGAACAGAGATCAGAGAGATTCAGAAATAAGTACTGCATATTACTAATTTATTTGGCAGTCATATTCTGCTCAATGTGTTTTGAAACTGTGACTGAACACTCAGGCTGTGCTACAGACTCAAAATCAGAGAAGTCTAATTGTCTAATTAATTGCTGTTTGCAGCTACCCAAAGGGGAGTTATGCAGAGGATGGAGCCAAACTCAGAGCAACACGGCAATAGGACCAGAGGAAAAAGTTGCAGCAAGGAAGGTTCTGAATGGATATAAGGAAAAAGTGTTACAGCAGGAGTGAGAAAGCACTGAGTAGAGCAGGTAGCCCAGAGAGGTCGTAGCATCTCTGCCTTTGGGAATTTTTAAAACTCAATTGAACAAGCCCCTGAAAGACTTTGAAGTTAGTCCTGCTTTGAGGAGGAGGTTGGAACAGATAGCCTCCAGAGATCACTTCCACTCTAAATTACTTGATGACCCTATTAGAAAAGGACATGCTCACTGCTTCCCAGTGAGCAGGGGAAAACAATTTGTGTTAAACTTACTGATGTATCTGACAGTACTCAAATTGAAAATCTCCCTATGTTGAATTTTTTTGTGTTGGAAAGATATTAGGGTATTGACCATACTTTTCACTCTAAGGAAATAATTGGATTGTGGCAGCTGAAACTTTGAGCATGTAGAGCTAAGACAAAGGATTGGTTTTCCTCTGTCCCCAAGATATCAGCGTTTATAGAACTGTACAAGACAAAGTCTCAACACAAATGCTGGCAGTATGAATAACTGAAGAAGTGTTGCTGAAATTTGTAATTTAGCTCTTCTCTTAGTAGCAGACAAAGAAAACAAAGCAGAAGCAAGCAGGAAGTTGTAACTACCATGCTTATTGAGTATAAGAAAAAATGTTAGGGCTTTTAGATAAACTTTTTAAAAATTCAGTTTTCAATTCTGTGTAGAAGCAGTCATTCTGAGAAAGATAAATGTGTTCAGATGAGGAAAGAGTAGAAAAGTCTCTGCTGCTGTCCTTAAGAATAATTACATCAGAACTGTAGTGCTGTGCATGTTTGTGTACATTTAAAATCCTGGATGAATGATAGATGTTTAAAAAGCAACAAAAAACCTAACAAAATCCTCAAGCAGGATTAAAATGTACTCTAACACTTTTTCCCCCATAAGCCATGTAATACATGCTTCTGAGAATGAGTCAACATAAAACTAGAGAGGGCTCCTTCCTCTTAGATCTCAATGTTATGATGCTAGCTGACCAAATGATTTAAAAGTTCACTTTGATCTTCCTGTTCAAATATGCATGTAAGGAAAAAAAATCTCCTTTCACCTCTTTTCTAAATAGATAGAGAAAAAATAATAGAGTGTTGATTTCATTTTGGTGAAATAGGTTACATGTGTTCTGCTGGACCATTACACACTCAGGTGTATGCTTGAAACAGTGTGTCAGACTGTGATCAGTATGTAGTATAGAAATGAACACTTAAAAACTTGAGTAACCCTTGAATTTCTGCAAAGCTGCTGAAAGTCTTTCAGAAACCTCATTCGCTGACACTCTTGATCCTTATTCCCAGCTGCAGATTATGGTATCTAGAAAAGCAATGTCTTAATCTAGGTTTAGCTAAGCACATGTTTCATGGGAAACAGGAATCACAGTGGTACTGAACTCTGAGAGGTGTCCTTCTGGCCATTCATACCAGTGTAAATAATGTCCTTGACCTGCAGTTAAGAGTATCCAAATACTGTATCAGACACCATGCCAAAGGTGAATTTTAGGAAGGAGTTGTGGCCTGAAACTGTGCTGTGGTGGGTGGATTCAGTTGGTGACAATTGCTGTAACCTCAGAAACAGAGCATCTTCATCTTTGCTTCTGCTGCTAATTTCATGTTCTGCTTTGTTACCTCTGTCTCTGCTGTAGAGGCTGCAACTGAACATAGTGCAGGAACTTGTCTAGTGGTGCTTATATTTTTAGATAGGTTGATAGAGAGTGCAGGATGCATAGAGATGACTGAAAACTCTCCGAGCCTGGAGAATAAGCTGTGGAAGTTAGGAAACAATCCTTACAAATGTTGGAATGTAAGAAAATAGCAACAACAGGAACTATAGTTCAGAGGACTTGAGACAGAGCTGCTCATCCAGACCTAGCATTAAATACTGATGTTCTATAACTTCAAGTATTTTATAGAATATTTTTTCTCTTCCTTGTCAGTCCAAGAAATGAACAGCAGTAACACTAATGGTGCCTAGCCAAATATCTCTCACTGGCTTGCCATCTGTATCATGTCCTGACAGAACAAATGCTGTTCCAATTAGCTAACTTCATGTTGCTTGCTCTTTGTCAGAACTACTTCGCTTGCGTCACTATCAAGATGTCTCTTTTTATATGCTGTGTCCAGCTGGATGTATTGCATTGTATAATGATAATTGTGTCCCACGCACCCCATCCCCCTACCCCCCAAAATCTGGCATATATTCCAAGCAAGCATTTTGGATGTGGTGTAAGGCAGAAATAAAACTGAGAAAGACGGTGAGGCTCATGGCAGATCAGCTTATGGCTTGGCTAAGAGACAGATCAGTTGAGGCATATTTGAGGGTAACCTGCCCAGCAGGAAGAAAACCTTGGCCACAGTGACCAGATTCCAACCAAAAACAAGTCCTGGGTGATCTCAGCACTCTGTAGCAAGTGGAAATACGGTGCTTCCAAGCAGGAGGATATTGGCAGTGATGCACACAGGTTTCGTAGTCCTCAAGGAGGCTGTGACAAGTGGTTGTAATTGGTCCCAGAACACTGACAGAGAAAGATACTTTTCCTCTCAAGCTCCCTTTATTTGAGGTTCTTTGTCAAACTGTTTCTTGGAGTTGTTAGCTTTTGAGATGTAAGGCATGGCAGACCCACACAGTGGGGCAGGGGAATGCAGAAGCCTTAAAAGGCCTGGCACCTGATAGCTTCCATTCATAATTGAGGAAAATAGCCAGCTGTGGGTGTAAGTAGCAAAGCAAGTAAAGCATTATTGTGAAGAATGAGTCTTTTTTGTGATCTCTTCTGCTTCTGGTAGACCTCCCCTTGGATCCTGTGCACTTCTGACCTAACCACCTGGTAGAGATACTGGGTGTCCCCATTTCCGAATATTTCAGCTTGCCATCTGGGTTTGCAGTAGCTACCAAGTCTGGTAGGGCTGCTGCTCTGGAAGAAACAGTGGGTAAAGTGACCTTGACAAGAAATTGCTAGGATTTTTGTTTGAAGAAAAAAAAAACAGTAAACATGAAAGAAGCAGAGTTCAGATGAAATCTTCTACATATTGTAAGCAGAAAGTCTTTGCTATCCAGGAAGAATTTATAAGTCAGACATGTGGAATTGCAGGTTAATGGTAGAATTTGGATGTGATTTCTCAATGGCATAGTTTCTGATACTCTGGAATGGAATAACAAATTGTGGAGTTAATTATTTGATTACCTGGACATTATCTCAAGGCTCAGTGAACATTCATATTTGAACAAATCAACTTACTCAATTATACTGCTGTTGGTTTTGATTTTTTTTTTGAGAGGAATTACAAACTTAGTAATTGTGTACTTTTTATTACTTGGGTTTCTGTACATTTAATATCTGCTTATGTTGCATTTGTTTTTGTAGTGGCATAAGGTTATGTATTTGCCCATATGTATTAAATTATTAAAATATTTTATAGGAGACTGGTATATTCAGCAAAGTTTGGGGTTTTGTTGGGGTTTTGTTTGTTTGGGTTTTTTATAATGATTAATATGAGATGTTAAGCATGTTGTGGTTACTTGTGCATGCTCACACTTCCTGGGTGTCATGATTTAACCCCAGCCAGCAACTAAGTACCACACAGCCTGGTGGGATGAGGAGGAGAATCAGAAAAAGGTAAAACCCGTGGGTTGAGATAAGAATAGTTTAATAATTGAAATAAAGTAAATAATAGTAACAATAATTGTAATGAAAAGGGAGATAACAGAGAGAGAGAAATAAAACCCAAGGGAAAAAAACCCAAGTGATACACAATGCAGTTGCTCGCCACCCACTGACCAATGCCCAGCCCATCCCCAAGCAGTGATCAGCACCTCCTGGCCAACTCCCCCCACTTATATACTGAGCATGATGCTCTATGATATGGAATATCCCTTTGGCCAGTTCGGATCAGCTGTCCTGGCTCCCTTCCAGCTTCTTGTGCACCTTCTTGTTGGCAAAGCATAGGAAACTGCAAAGTCCTTGACTTACTTTGACTTACTTTGAGTAAGCACTACTTAGCAACAACTAAAACAGCAGTGTGTTACCAATGTTATTCTCATACTAAATCCAAAAAATGCAGCACTGTACCAGCTACTAGGAAGAAAATTGACTCTATCCCAGCCAGAGCCAGGACACTGAGGAAAATTCATCAAGAACCATCTTTATCAGACTAGATTTTCAATTCTGTTATAAGCAGTGGCACTCCCCATATGAAAAGGTTTTGAGAGAAAAAAAGGTATCAATAGTAAGTTTTCATGGTATCGCTAGTTTAACCAACATTTCCATACATAATAATGAAAAAGGAACACTCTCTGATTCATGAATATCAGGAAAAAGAACAAAACAAAGAGTAACAGAAAGAGTAAATGTATTGTAAATTCTGCAATATAAAGTACTTTGTTCTGTTGATTTTAATGTGATATTTCAAAATTGGTTGTCATAACCTCTGTTGAAACTACTTTCATTTCTTCAGATATCTTGAATGAACTCTTCCAGAGGGAGAACCGTGTGCTGCATTATTGGACCATGCGTAAAAGACGTCTTGACCAATGCCAACAGTATGTGGTGTTTGAAAGAAGTGCCAAACAGGTGAGAGTTTTATATAAATACCCTCTTCAGTGTGACCGAGGTTTGACATACACTGACTTGTCCCACAATAACAAATTTGCCATTGACTTCAATATTTCAATTGGCTGAAAGATCAACGGTTAAAATGGGACGGGTTAAAAAGCAAGTTACTTGCTTTTCCTTTAGTACAGAACACCTAAATCTATTGAGGCAGGGTGTCTTTCTGCTGTAGCTTAAAGGTAGTGTTTTGCTTCTGCCAGCTTGATCTGGTACTGGCAAATCTCATTTCTGCAAGCTTGTATTTGACAAATTGTTACGCTTGTTAACTTCTACACACACACCTAGTTTGATCAGGGAAATAACAAGGAGCAACATTTTTCTCAGATGTTGGGGGAAAAAAATCCCATCTAATTAAGTTGATTGGCAGCTCTAGAAAACTGGCGAGTTGGATAACTCCTTAAACAATAATAACTGAATGACTTTGGTTTTGCGATTTCTGTGTGTACTTGGTTTTGTGGTTTCTTGCATGGTAGATCCACCTCTTTGTATTTTGTTCAATTTATCAGTGTGGAAAGAACTATTAAGTAACTACCACACACCAAAAAAAAAATCCCATTCACTAATCAAAATGCAAACCACAAAAATAACTAGGGAGTTCCAAGGCAGAGTTAGCAACTGGAGTGATCTGCAGTGCTGTTTTACTGTATTTTTTTTTTTTCAACTGGTTATAGGACAAAGAAAGGAAGCTATCTGTTCCTGTTCTGCAGAAAAGGACACAATGCCTGCACTGTGAAATATAGTTAGATCTGCTTTAAAGGACTCAAAAAACCTAATTTTTTATATCTTCCTGCCAGCCAATGTAGTCAGAAGCTTGAATACTAGTGGTCTGTTTTGATCTCTTGAAAGATTTCTAAAGTCTGTCTTTCATGCTTAGATAAATCTTGGAGTGAAGTTAAAGGTTACTACCTCTTTAAAACACCACCACCACCCCTTTCCTGCCCGCCAGCCCACTTGTGAATAACCTTAACTCCAACCTCTGCCAAGCACATGACCTGCTTGCTTTTGTATACAGATTACTGACTAACAGTCAAACACTGGAGATAAAGATCTGTCAGCATTTTCATCGTAAATCCCATTTTTCAGCAGTCACCAGTTCAGTCATTGCAAAGCTAGCCAAACTGTATTTGGACTCCACACTGATTAGCAAAAAATGGAAATGTTGCTGTCTTCATTTACATTTTTGTTTGGAAGTTGGAAGAACCCATTCTTTGTGCTTTCAGAACTTGATGCCCTGCAATGGGAGCAGATACCATGGTAGTTTGCAAGGACAATGGTAGACTCTCAAACCAACCTGATCACTAAATTGATTTCTCCAATTCTTGTGTGTGTCTCCAACATACAGTCCTGATCCTCACATGAAATGAGAGCTGATCTAAACTGTAGGAGTTAACATTGAGATCAACTTCCTATCATATTGTGTCTCTAGAGAGCTGCCAAAAAGTTATGAAAGGGCAACGTTTGCGGAGGGGAAGTTTTTTGGTTTATCATTCATTCCAGCATTGTGTAATAAACCCACCAAAAAAAAGGTGAAGGTTGAAAAGTTAAAAGCAAGACATATCAAAATAAATGTTGTTTGTAATATCAGCGGTGGCCATGCTGCTTGTCCAGATCAGTTTTCACTTGCAAAGATTGACATTAGAATGACAAGGGGTGTTGTACAGGTGGTTGGTTGAAATGTCCCTTTTCTTAACAGTAGTCCAAGAGTTGTTGGTTTGTTTCCATCAGCGATGTTTGAAAAGTACAGGCCCATCTCATCAGACTTGCATCTGCAATAGTATGTGACTAGGTAAATGGCATCTTAGCATTCACATTCAGTGTTGAATTTTGAAGGCTTTCTACTCACTTTAGTTTTAGTATCAAGAGGCAAAAGCATCCTAAGTGGAAGGAAAAGAATCAAATTTAGTCACAGCTGTGATAAGCTTAAATTGTTGGTAGAATTATAATATAGACGATGCCTTTTGTGATTCAGTGTAAGGTTATGCTCTTGAAAAATACATATCTACTGTCCACCAAGATAAAGCTTTTCCTGTTCTTGGTAATGTGGTTAGATAAAAGGGTAAGCTGAAAGTATCAGATAAAAGGAAGAATGAGGACCCACTACCTATCTACTATTTTTTTTCTTGGGGTATTAAATTTTTGTCTAGTGCTGTACGTATTTACTGAAGACATAGAAGATGCACATGCATTTAGTAACAAGACAGTTCTAAGCAAGCTGTATTAAACTCTTTGAACATCTGATACTGACTTTGTCAGAACTAAGAAGTTCCTAAGTTAATGTGCCTCTGCATACTGCTGTAGAAGCCTGTATTTAGAGCTGCAAAACAACTTGATAATGTCAGTCTTCAGTTACATTTTTTTGTTTTTACTGTTATGCAGCAGTTTGAGACTTTTTTTTTTTCTGGTAGCCAGAGAATAGGATTCCTTGCAACCACTAAGTTATGCTTAAAAGGGCAGCAAATATTAATGTGGGTAGAACATAGATAATAGTGTGGATCACCATGGTTCATAATAGTGGGAGAGTAAGGTACCAGGATGTGGAAGGGAAACAATTATAGTTTGTTGTTCTTAGTTCTTGTCTTTTATTACCTGTACATACATTAATTGGTTTAACTGATACATCTCACCATTCCTCCTCTGCTGCAGGTTTAATTTCTAGGAGTACATGTAACTACAAACCATACTTTGTGAGACTGGAATAAATGTCAACTAATGAGTAGAAATCTGAGTTAAATTTTAGGTGCTTGGAAAGTTTAACCTACACGTTTGGCAGTCTTATGTACATATTTACAAGTTGGAAAATGCACGTTTCTGAGTACAGCTGTCCTGTGTTGCACAAAAAAGTAATTTTTTTGCTCAGCTGGGGAGTATACTAACAAAACCGTAGACATTGTCAGTTAGAACCTTTTAATAGTGGACTGCTATAGTCCTGTAGTAGTGGACTTCCCTGAAGGATTCAGATTTATGTGTCAATTGTTAATTGTTCAAGCATTGCTTCATGGAGTAATTGAATTATTTCAGAGTTACAAATGGTTTGATATTGTAGAGGTATTAGATGATTGCCACAAGTGATAGAGAGTAAAATTTAGCTGTGGCCAATCGTGTTTGTGAAACACTGATTACAGATGGTTTCTATTGGCAAAAGTATGATGCTTTCTCTCTTACTTTTCCTTCATTATTGATTTATTTAGGCTCTGGAATGGATTCATGACAATGGAGAGTTTTATTTATCCACACATACTTCCACTGGCTCCAGTATCCAGCACACTCAAGAGTTGTTAAAAGAACATGAAGAATTTCAGATCACAGCAAAGGTAAAATAAATAAAGTTATGTAACATTTGCAAAAACCAAAACAACTCAAATTCCCATCTCCCCCCAGAAAAACCCCCACAAATGTGTCCATCAAGATTTGTTTACTCACAGTGGCTTTCTCTCTGTAGTTTTGCTGGGAACAGAATACACCAAGAGATAATCAGAAGATAATCACTTACTGGAGCTCGATCAGCCCCATGTGCTGTTGATTTCTCATGACAGAATCATAGTGAGATAGCTTGAAATGTTTTTAAAAAAAACTACAAACCTTGCAGGGCCCTTGATTTCCACTTTTATATCCTCATATCTGCAGATTACTTCATGTTCATTTAGGATATAAAATACAAGGCACATTATTATTCAGCTGTGATTTAATTAGAAGATAGCAGAAAAATTAAAGCTTTACTTGTTAGGTTACTAATTTTATTAAAGTATTTTGTGATTCTGCTGTAACTTTTTGAGCCATGGCACCATTATGTTATTCTACATCTCTGGAGACCTCTACAGACATGCAGGTGTCACTTGTGAGGCTTACCAGTTTTCACGTGTGAAAGACAGGCAACTAGTGTGTGACTGAGGTACCTGAGCTTATGTAGCATCGTCTGTCTCTGTGTTTCATTTTGTAACCTGTTCAAACTGTCACCTTTTTCCACCTCTCCAGTCTTCACAGAGAAGTAATAGAGCCCAAAAGAGTAAGCAAGCGTTCATTTGTCTGAAGGACCACCTCAGAAGAGAAGAGACTTGGAGATGGAGTTGGTCATGGGACATGTGGGAAGGGAGAAAAGAGAATCTGGAAAGAACAGAGATCAGTTTTGCTTTTCAAACCAGGATTTTCTTCCTTCTGAGTTTTGCTCCAGCCTTTGTTCTGCTGGCTCCCTTCCAGCACGCAGAGTACTGCTGCCCCCCTTGTTTCCTCTGTCAGTCAGCAGATGACGTGGGTGCCCCTTTGAAAGGATGTTGTTAGTGCCACTCCCTTCGTGTTTTGCTACCTGTTGGGAGGATGTATTAGCCCTTGCTAATTCCATAGTGAAAAGAAATGCTTGGATTGAGGGACCATTAGGAAAGAAAAAGAATAAGTAAAAAACAAAGAAGGACAAACACTGTTGATTTTTCCAACTGACATAAAAGGGTCAAGTTTTTATTGACTGTTGTGCTTAACTCCCTGTTACCGAGGGCCCTAACAGTACACTTTACTCTGACATAGTATCAGAGAGAGAGAGGTGGAGGTATAAATTCATTTATTGTGGATGATTTATGATTTACATGAAAGAAACTGCATAGTCTTAGGCAGCTTGTTAATTGGGAAAAGCACTTAGTTACAGATTTGGTGGTGGCTACTTGTTCTCTTAGTTTCTCTCAAACAACTGTGTGACATCAAAACATAATATTAAAAAGATCTAAAGAATATAGTCTTAATCCATTGAAGTGTAAAGCATATAACAAGACTTACCTCCATGTCAGCATTTCAGTGATGTCTAAAGGAGGTAGATTTTTGAGACTGTGGGCCAGGTCCAGTACCAGTGCTCCACTGGCAATGAATGAAATATCCTCTTTGGCACCAAAACCACTTTATATTGATGCAAGGAGAATACCCATGCTCTGAAAAGCTTACCTAGCAGAATTTAATCTCTGGGTTAGTTATGAAACACATTTTTGAAAGAAAAATAAACAACCTGCTTCTAGCCATGTGATAATAAAACCCAAGGAAACCTATATTCATTTTGCGCTATTTTTATTAAGAAATAGGTATCTGTTTAAAGGAGTTCTGGGAAGAGAGAGGAAGAAGCTAACTCCTTTGATAGCTTCTCCAACTGCACTTAGTAGCAAGTTAAGCAAAGTGACCACCTTTATGACAGGTAAAGCTAGTAACTCTTCTATATTTTCCTGTTTTCATAGCAAACCAAAGAGAGGGTGAAGTTGTTGATACAGCTGGCTGATGGCTTTTGTGAAAAAGGGCATGCTCATGCAACAGAGATTAAAAAATGTGTCACAGCAGTGGATAAGAGGTACAGAGACTTTTCCCTGCGCATGGAGAAATACAGGACCTCTTTAGAGAAAGCTCTGGGTATTTCCTCTGATTCCAATAAATCGGTAAGAGAAATTTGAGTGTGATGACAGACAAACGAGCTTTGCTTGCATTTGATTTAGCTATCGTTTTCTCCTGTCTCCTTCCTTAATCAATTCTTTCTTTCTTTATTAAAGAGCAAAAGCTTGCAGCTGGATATAATCCCAGCCAGTGTCCCTGGGTCAGAGGTGAAACTGCGCGATGCTGCTCATGAGCTTAACGAAGAAAAACGGAAGTCTGCCCGCAGGAAAGAGTAATAAATTTATTTATTTTTAATCAATGAGAATGCATAAATCAATCCTGATAATGAAACAACTGTCATGGCTTGTCTGGCAGCTTAGAAATTGGATAAATGCTAAAAAGAGAGTGATACTGCTCAATAGCTCCTGTTGCCTTTTATTCACATGCTTGTTCTCACAGATAATTCTAGTATGTCAGAGTCTTAAACTTTCAAAACTATGTTAGACTTCTTTTAATGTGCTTTTTGTTTTTTTAAAAATAATGTGAAATAAATGTGTAAGGGGAGGAGGGAAGACAACAGTTAAATAACTGTAGCAAGTGAAAAGCATTTCAGAAAAAATTCCATCTCCTTCCCTATTTCTTTTTGTGCTGGTTAGTAATGGAAGGATATTACCTCTTACATTTCCCTTATCTGTTGTTTCTCTTCACGTTTCAGTTCTCAGATTTTTCTTGCAGCAGTGGAAAAAGCAAAAGCTGATGAGGAGAAAGATATATTCTGGTTATTATGCATTCATAGTGACTTAACAGACTGAGATTTGATTATTCTTTCTGTTGTCACCTAAGGTTCATTATGGCTGAGCTAATTCAGACAGAAAAGGCTTACGTAAGAGACCTCCGGGAATGCATGGATGTAAGTATTCTTTTTTTCACTAATCTTTGAAGACAGGATTCAATCCACTGCTTTCTGTTTGTTTCTGGTTTTAACAGCTGACCATGATTGGTTTGCAGTCATAGGACCAAATTAAGTATCTTTTCTGCTATTAAGAAGAAACTTAGTAATACAACAGATAACAGCTACTTTGGAATTCATCCTATATGTTTTGCTTTTGTCGGTACTGCATTTCAGCATTTGCTCCTTTCCCAATTCATAAATGTTGGGGTTTTTTTGTTTTAGAGAGGGGAGGGAAAAAGGAGGGGTTTACTTTATTTGCTTTGCTGGCAATAGAGAAGAGCTTGTGTTAATTCTCTTATTATCTGTATCACATGTTTTGCTACTAGCTGACTTTTTGAATAGAAATTCAGAGAGGTTCCATGGAAAAGTGCCCAGTAATTGTTACGCTGAACCGAGTAATGTTCAGTGTTAGCTGTTGCACAAGGCATGAACTTCTAGACTGCAGACGTGAGCTTGATAAGGAATATCCTGAAGCATTAGAGGTTGTCAAGAACACTATGCATTTTAAATGATGAAGTCTCAGGGAGTATGTTGAATTGTCAGTTTTAGAACTTGGATTTTACTGTCAAAATCACAAGGTATATTTGACACAACAGGTACTGTCACAATTGGAGATGATGATGCTGCGTGATCTTTCCCTGATTTCTCTCCAGGAACGCATGCTTACAGGTACCGGAGTGCCTCTGCTCAGAGCTTACCACTTTTTGTGCATCTTTTTTGTTCTGGGCAGACATATCTATGGGAAATGACAAGCGGAGTTGAGGAGATCCCACCTGGCATTGTAAACAAAGAACACATTATCTTTGGAAACATGCAGGAAATCTATGAGTTCCACAATAAGTAAGTGACTTATCTTCCATTTCCATATTTCTGCTAAATCCAAATGATGACCTGAGGGATTTCCTAATGAAAATATTGTGCATATGAATAATGGATGCTTTTCCATAAAATATCTAAGGTATTTCTTCTCACATTGCTAAATTTGCTTTTTGCAGCCAGGTAGTTACGCCATTAGAAACAATCTTGTTCAGTCTCAGACATCTTTCAGCTTTTAAGAAATTATTTGGATACATTAAAACTTTGCTGTAGGTTTTTCAGTTGTTCTAAAGAGATAGAAACCACTGAACTCAACAGAATATAGATGTAGCACAAACGTCAATTTAAGACGCTGTCATTCCTTCAGAACCCTTATTCCTGATTTCCAAGTGCAACTGCTAGTGGGAAAGATTAGGGCTTGCTTCTCTTTCTTGGCTCTTCGAAGCTTCTGTGGAGATGCCCCACCGTTGTTACATTTACTTGAGTAGAGAGCATGAAAGAGGCTTGTCCACTACACTACTTCTGAGTGGAATGGTTCCGAGGCAGACCTATGTACAGAAGTCTTGCTCTAAACCTTCCCTCTTTGTTAATTCATTGGTGTTTGTATTGGGTTATGATACTTTTAAGTAATACAATCTACTAGCATATTCCAGAACAGGATTTTACAGTCCTTTGTATGCTTTGTGTTAACTTCAGCATCCAAAAAGCAAGTCAGTTCCTTTTTCTCTTAAGATGAAGGCTAACCTTCTGTTGAAACTCATCAGTAGGAAACCTTCTTGATGGAGAACAACAGCAGTTATTAAATTTTTGTGTACTGCTACATGTTAACTGCATGTCTGCTGGATCAGTTTCTGATCTTCACATCAGAATTTCTATTGAATTACATTTTATATTAGTTCTGTTATTACACATTTTTATCCATTCCTGTTATCTTTATTTCTTTAACTCATCCTGTTGGTATGAATTACAGCAAGTTTTCTAACCGTCTTTATTCACAGACAATAGATCAGTGTCAGCTGCTCTAATGAGAATGTTTCATGTGCCTTGTGCTATTTGTTTCTTTTCTACCCATAGTATATTCCTCAAGGAGCTGGAAAAATATGAACAGTTACCAGAAGATGTTGGACACTGCTTCGTTACTTGGGTAATGAAGTCATACTTGTGTTTTGAAGTAACAAGGGAGATAGGAAGCATGAAGAGATGGATTCTTGCTCTCTTGTCCCTTTTTAATTTGTAAAATTTGTAAAACTACATCTTCCTTCAAATTTGAGTAAAAATGTGTGTATCTTCAACTGGGGAAAAAAAAAAATTAAGGCACTGCTGTCAGATGCCAGTGCTTAGCTGCTCTTGAAGTTTATGGAAGTTGCCTAAACCTGCGTTCGGGTTTGGTTTGTTGTCTTTGTCTTAGCTATAAAAAAATCTACTTTTGCATACATTGCTGTTGTTTTCAGTCTTAGTTTCCTGATGTATTTTCTTATGCTGCCAGTTTGAATGGGAAAATAATCCTGTATAGTTCAATTTCTTGGGAGAGAAGATATGCTGATAACTGTGTAAAAACTTGGAGACAGAAATGATGCTCTCTGATAATCTGTGTAAATCTGCATTTTGTTCTGCAGGCAGACAAATTCCAAATGTACGTTACTTACTGTAAAAATAAGCCAGATTCTACCCAGCTGATACTGGAACATGCAGGAGCATACTTTGATGTAAGTACTTTGCATCCATCTTAAAAGTATACCTTGGCAGTCTGAATCATGTACTTGTAGATATGCTGAGTGCCTAATTTCTTAAGAAAATGCAAGTTTCCTGGTACTAATGCTGCAATTTAGTGTCAGCTTAAGAAAATCAGTCCTGTATCTCACATGGTTAACTTATATTGCTCAGTTGGTCTCATAAAGCTGTCAAATCAAATGTAAAAAGTCGCTGTCACATATCAGAGCAGTTCAGAACTGGAAGCAAGTTCTGGCAGGAACAACTGAGACATGAATCTTCAGCTCTCACAAGCACATTCTGCAAATCTTACTTTTTTCATGTGCTTAGTTTGCATTGTATGTAATAAAGATGGAAATATTTGTTAAATTTTTGGAGTAGTTAGATTTGTATGTAGTGGTAATTCAGTTGACTGCCATTATTCAAAGCTGCTAAACCAACCACCTTGCTTATTCAGTCCAAAGGTTATTTGGTCTATGAATAATATTCTGCTTAAAAAATGATTAAAATGTAGCAGCTGTTAGAGGTTTTAGGGAGGAATTTTGGCCACACCGAATGAGTTTTAGTTGAACGTGTATTTACAGATGATTCAATTAGAGTACTCTCTACCTCTTTTTGTTTCCTTCTCCACGGACTGTGTAGTGACGCTACAAATTTTTTTAGAATTGTTTGTAGAAGTAGAGGGAAGCATATAATAGAAAACAAACAAACAAAATCCCTGAAATTCTTGGGATTAATTTCAAAAGTCTGTCACTGAGGAGATGGGGACTCTAAACATTGTAAGGTAAAGCCTTTCTGTGAAGCCTCTAAGTTGTCAGTGTTTGAAGAAGAGCAGGTAAGTTACAGGACATCAGGCAGACGTGACCAAAAAAAATTCAAAGAAAAATTTAGTAAATACTATTTTAAAAAATAACAAGCGGCTCTGATAAAACTGTATTAGAAGTAAGTTCTTGCCACCACCTCCAAAGGAGTGCCTTTTGATCCCTCTGTTTTACCAGTGTATCCAGAGCTCTCTATCCCCTAATCCACCTAAAATGGATTAAAAGTGTGAAGACCTAATTCTGTGCACAGGTAACTTCAAGAGCATCTGTTGGTGCCACTACTGGGCCATGTAAAAATGTCACGTGTATCCCATCTTAGGAATTTCTGATATTGTAATCATGGTTAGAAAGCACAGAGCTGCGGTGCATAACTTGCTGTTTAACACTGCGTGGTTAAAATATATCTGATACTGTGATAAATGGCAAATGCTGGACGTGAAGTTCAACCATGATCAGTACTTGAAATCTGTAATTATCCCATCTAATTATCATCTGATTCTATTTTCCTCCTTTAGCCTTGTTTGTAAGTGGCTGTTTTCTTTGCAAGTGTTTGGTAACCGCTTTCCTTCAGTTGGAGACTGTGACTTCGCGCTCCCCCTCGTGGGGCAGAACGCTTCCTGTCGTTATGGACAGTTCCACGGGCCGGTGGTGCTGAGAAACCTCCGCCTCAGCCTGACTGCGGTAGCCCTGGCTGTTCCCCAGAACACTGAGATTTGCTTTCTGTTCTCTCTTGCGAGTAACAAAAGAAATACGGATTTTCATTTTAAAAAAAGGCGTTGCCACGTGTTCGGTATTCCTAATCGTTGCTATTTGTATTTAGGTTTGTTGAAACGCTTCACAGGTACCCTTGGAGGTAATAATCTTTTGTTTCTACAAAGTGAGCAGGCAGATGCACAACGTAACTATTTGCTGTGGCTGGAATATCTTGTTATCCTGTCTTTTTTTATTTCTCCTTGCTAAAATAAATTTGTAGTTAATGTGTATTATTGCATAACCCTCAAAGCAGTCTGTGCCTGACTGTTGGTGCTCACAGTCCTCAAATGTTTCCTTTTTTCGTGTAGGAGATACAACAACGACATGGACTGGCCAACTCTATCTCCTCTTACCTTATCAAACCTGTCCAAAGGATAACAAAATACCAGCTTCTTTTAAAGGTCAGTATTAATTCAAAGTTCTTCATCTGATTCCGCTGTTCTTAAGAAGGCAAAGCTCTTGCTGAAATCGGGAGAGCTGTTTTACTCTGCACTCTGAGACTACAGTGTCCTGGGCAGCCTCAAATACTGCTGTGATAATTTTTAGGAGACCACTGAAAATGAAGGAAGGCATAAATAAGCAATTTTTTGTCCAGATTCCTGTAAATAAAAAAAAAAAAAACAAAAACCCACCTCTCTACTAATGTTTACTTAGAAAATACAATTTGCATTTCCAGAGTAAAAAAGTAATTCATTGCCATATAGACAGGCACATTTTTGTAATAGTTTCTGCAACAAATTTAGGCAAGCCATTAGCTATGTTTATGGTAGTAAATACTGTAAAATATAATTTTTTATGTATTTATTTCTATGTAAAAAAGATAATATAAAATATCTGTAAAATATATAGAAGTGTATATGTGTGTGTATATATACACGCACACTGAGTACCTGTAAAGCTGTTGCACAAAAAGTTGTTTCTTGTAATGTTGCCGGGAAATGTCAAGTAGGTAGTAGCTGTTAAAATAAACAAAACTTTTGGAAACCTGTAGTTAGAGCTTTCACTCCGTGTCTTGTTAATTGATGCCTTGTTAACTGAGCAGCAGTGTTCTTGAACTGTGCTGGGTCTCTGTTAGGTGGCATTCCTTGTTTTGTAATAGCTGCCTACAAAGCACTGTAACTGATCTGTGTCTCCCCTTTGTACTTGAGAACCTCCATGGATGATTGTTTTTAAAATTTCTGAAAAACATCGCAGGCTATTTCAGGTCAAGTTGGAGGGAAACAAGTCTGTCATTTTTAACTGAAACATACTGTCTGTTCTCCTCTTGCAACAAGGTGCAACTTGATTAAGTTGCATCTTACAGAAATACTCTGGCCTGTGCTGTTTAGAAATTTTGGGATATTAATTCCAACAATTATTTTTTTAAAATCTAAATGTTCCTTAGCTGCTACATTATTGAAGTGATGGGATAGTTTTACTAGTGTTTGCAGAGCCAGATGACTTTGCTGCATAGTAAAATGGATTCATTTGGTGCTTGCTGGGTCTTCTCCTGGTCCCCTCCTCGCTCGGTCCCCTCCTCGCTCGGTCCCCTCCTCGCTCGGTCCCCTCCTCTCTCATATTCCCTATGAGAGAGACGTAAAACATGGAAGGATGGAGAACCCAAAACTTGAATGACAGCTGAAACAGTTATAGAAGTTCTGCTTATTTTTCCAAATGGTATTGAAGCTGCTCATCTTCTGTGCCTCCTGAAGGATATTTAGTTACACTCGCTTTTCTATATCGTTGTCATGTAAAATTTAAGTGTGATGATGTAGTGTTTTGCTGTGATGGTGGTATTGGCAGTTAAATAAAAATAATGTAATGATGATAATAGTAGGACTCATCTGCTTTTCTCTCTAAAAAGGAAAAGGGAATTTAACCTGAGGGAAAAAATTAAGTGGATCTTTTGAATAATAGAACATAATATGCCCTTTTGCTTATGCAGGCTATGTTTTATCTTGATACTGTTCAAATGCTTAAAGGATGTGAGGAAATTTGAATATCAGCTCAGGTGCTGTTATGTTAATATCTGTGCGATGTTGAATGGGCAGGGAACTGCATCGCCCTAAACTGCAGTACTACGCTTCAGCATATTCTATTCTCTCACTTCTGTCCATTAGTTAATGCTTGTTTGCATTAAAAAGTTTTGTTTGTAGGATGCTTTTAACTGTGTGAACACAGAATAGAGTAATTCATGGAGAACTTAAAATGAAACAATGTAAATCCCCTTAGCAGCAGTAGTACAGAGAAGGTCTTTGGTGCAGTAAACCAAAGACTGACATGGGAGGCGGGCTGGTTCTTTTGTGCTGTCCTGCTTTCCACTGTCTTCATGACTTGATAGCTGGGCCTTGATGTAGTGCTGCATCTGATAGCTGTGTCTGTGCTTATCAGAAAAAAATGTTGTCCTTAATGTAACTTTTAAAGATTTCTTATTAAGCAGATGATCTTATTTAAATTAGAGATGATTAACTGAAAGCTTGGGCTGCTCCTTGAAGAACAGATCATGTTAAATACAAGGTATACTGTCACGTCATTGGCAGAGTAAGAAGTTAAAAAAGATTTTACATACTAAAAATGATTCTTTGCTTGTCAGAAGTACTACTTGGTTGTCTATCATATTAGTGTAGAAATATATGATAGAGAGTACTCAAGTCTGCTCATCTTTTGCAGGAGCTGCTCACGTGCTGTGAAGAAGGTAAAGGTGAGATTAAGGACGGCCTGGAGGTAATGCTTAGTGTGCCAAAGCGAGCCAATGATGCCATGCACCTCAGCATGCTGGAAGGTAGGATTCAAACTGACTTTCCAATTCAGTCGTATGCTGTAGATTAACTTTTTTTAATAACTTCCTATATTACTATACATTGAGAAGTTCTGAACAATGTGAACAATTTCTTATCTCTGGGTTTGTATTTTGTATACCTTTTATTTGGTGGTATATAAAATGCAAGCTTATTTAGGAAAATGTATTGTGACAGCCAAGTGTACAGTTTTGTTGATTTTTTTTTTTTTTTAAATGTTCTTTCATCCTTATCTATAGCTCTGCTACTGCAGATTTGAAAAATATGTAGGCTAATGAAGTTTTCCTCTACTGACCTAAAATGTAATAGGTGAATGATCAGATATGATAGCTTTGGCTATGTTTTCCAGCCAGGATCCTTGGCTTCTTTATATGAGGCACGTAAGTGTATTAGAGATGATTTTGCTGATTTATGTATCAGATAATTGTCTCCAAGAATTTTGTTGTTTCACATCTGTTTGCTGCCTATTCCACGACAGACTTCTGGTTGAAATTAAATGTATCTTCTGGCAATAAAATGTCGGCATAAGCCAATTAAGCCTGAGCCTTAGCCAGAACAGCATAATCATGTTTATGGCAGACAGTGGATGTTGGATGTAATTGCTTCTATGTGCTTAGAACAACTTTCTGCTCAAATCTGCTTTGTAATTGGCACATTATCCTGTATCCTGGTGCCATCATATATTTAGTAATAAAAGTGGGGGGGTTGGGCATTTAAATTTTTTGAGATAAATGCAGAGCTACCTTACCTTGCAGTTGCTGAATAAAGACTTCTAGGTGCTTTTAGTCAATATTCCTTTTCTTCTTCTCTGCTTTCTAGTAGTAAAATGGAACTTGTCATTGAATTTCCAGTATCATGCAAGTTACTATAAAACCCATCTTGGTTTGACATGTGATCCGTGATCATGTGGATGCTCAAAATCACCTCTCTTACCTGATTTTAAACAATAGGGATGTTGGTCAGTTTGCAGAATCAGTTCCAAATGCTTTGTTCAGTATATGGTGTTAGTATAAATGCTGACCAGCTTTGGTAATAATCTTTCAACACTGGGAATGTGACTCTGGAGAATATCCTAATCTTTTACATAAGTTAGTTTTATAACAAATCATGCATGTGTTGTTAAGTCATCCCATGTTACACAAATACAGTGAGTAAACATGTTTCCTCTTTATGTCTCTGGAGGATTCTGAATGAACACCCTGATGCAACTTGCCTCTGATGCTCTCCATACTGTTGCCCTGTTTAGAACAGTGAGAACTGTTGTTTTTTCAAGAAGGATGGTGCTCCTCTGTTCAGAGAATATTGGCAAGCAGTATCTGTTTAAAATGCAGTTTAATACCACTCAGAAGAGTATGATAGACTGATTTGTGTTATCCTGTGTGTTAAAGTGGGAGAACACTGTACCACTACAGTGGGAGTAAAATTGTTGATATTCTCAATCTTCATCTTTACATTATGTCTCAAGACAAGTAATCTGGCTGCTATTTCTTTATTGTGGATCAGTGCTGGAGGCACACAATGGCAGGCTGATCACATGGCAACAGCTCTGGGCTGCCATCTTTTTTCATCCGCTGTTGGAATATGTTTGTGTGCTCATTGCAAACATGGTAGGGAAGGTGTACCACCAGAAAAGGTGACATTTGGGAGCTTGCCAATGTCAGAACAACCTGATGTACTCTCTGTGTCCTTGCAAGTTGCTCACTTTCTACAGTGGCAGAAAGCTTGTAAGAGAAATCATTTTCATCATGGAACAGGTTACCAGAAGCTGACATAGGCAGATTTGTCATTTGTTGGTGAAATACTGCCAGAAGAGTTGATAAACTTCTTGATAGTTGGATCTCTAAATTTAGACATGGACTTGAGCTACAGTTACATTTAGTATATTGCAATGTTGAAATCAAGTCTTGTTTTTAGTATTGCTTCCTTGGAATCCCATCTTTTGCAAGCTGTATTTGGGGGGGGTGGAAAAAATCCCATCGCTTAATAAACAGAAGCTGTGCTTTTTAATTTCCTTGTATTATTAACTTTTCCTCTCCCTGGGTTTTTAGGCTTTGATGAAAATATAGAATCTCAGGGAGAGCTCATCCTTCAAGAATCCTTCCAAGTGTGGGACCCAAAAACTCTAATTCGAAAGGGAAGAGAGAGGCACCTTTTCCTTTTTGAGATGTCCTTGGTTTTCAGTAAAGAAGTAAAGGACTCCAGTGGAAGGAGCAAGTACATTTACAAGAGTAAACTGTTTGTAAGTATGGGAGAACAAGTGATGATATTTAGAAAACTGTCTAGATTAGACTGTGACTAAGCTCAGATGATTTAAATGTGCCTGAAGAACTTGAACTGCTACGATAGTACACTGAAAGAATAGCCTTGGAATGTGTAGACTGAATCTTCAAAGTTTGGTGCTTTGTCATGCATTTGAGGAGAAAGAGTAGGCTGAAAGCAACTACTGAAGGCTATGTGTCAATCTTAGTGTGTCAGGACAAAGGAAAATCGAGATTGGACTGGACTGATTTTGTCTTAGTTGTATGTGTGATTGCTCGTTCTTTAAGGCTTATTTGTATAAAACGGAAGGATGGAAGGAGTTGACAAGCTGCCTTCATCTTGCTTGTTTACTATTGCTCTTGTAGTAATATTCATGTTAAGGATTCATTTTGGTGGGTATTCTACACATACTGATCTGGAAAGACAAGAACTCTTGTTATGGAAAAGTTTATTCCAGAATGTCTACTGAGACTAGTAGTCTTACAATAATGTTTTGTAAATAATATGATAGCTCTTATGGTCTACTGAAAGGATGTAAAGATGAAAATGGTTTTCTTCCCATTTAAAAAAAAAACAAACACAACCCACTGTTGCTTTCCTCATCTGTAGCATGTATGCTTTACAAAATGTGACCGTGAATTCATACCCTTACCTTCCTGTCTCATTGGATGACTTGGGTCAGAGCAGTATTTGCACTCTGTAAATTTAGGTAGCCAAGTGAGAAGACCATCTCCTATGGCTTGCTCTGCATCTGTCAGAGGCAAGATTAGCTTTTCTACCAGACAGTTTAGAACAACTACTTGAAATTACTTCTCAGAATCATGTTCTAAAAGACATTATTCTTCTATTGAGCCTACTGGCATATATGACTAAGTCTAGATGGTGTAAATACTGATCTTTTTCTATCTGCTTCAGCTCCTTTTCCTTCGTTCTTTCCCCCGTCCCACCTCTGTGTCCAAACTGGTAAAGCAGGTTGATTCAGAAAACTTCTTTCTTCTGTATCTTACTTTGCATATTCTGTCACTTCATTTCCAACACTTGCTCTCTGTCCTGATATAAGGTAGCTAGCAGGTAACACAGCCACAGCTGTTTTGTTGATCACATCTTTCTTTAGAGCTCCCAAGAACTTGAAATACAAAAAACTTCTGGTGTACTGGAGGGTAACATCAACTGCCAAGGCATTACGTGGGAGGGGAGACAGAGCTGAGAAATCACTCCCATAAACTTGTCATGTCAATTCCTCTGGCAGGAATTTTGTAATCGCCTTGGGTCCGAAGAAGCTGCTGGAAATCCTGAAGGCTCTCATTGTGCCTTCATTTTTAAAATACCAGCATTCTATTTGTCTTCATATTCTATTTGGCAAAATATCCTGTAGTCCAACTTACTATTACAGCAATTCTTATAGTTTGATCTTTAGAAAAGACATTCATACAGATGTTGAAAGCATGCGTGTTGATTTGAGCTAAAGATCTTTTTTGCACGTTAATCCTGTCTCCTACCTCTGGAAGGTGGTTTTACAAAAGTGAGGTCCTTCTCTTTACTTTGGGCATAATGACCACCATGGTTTCCCCAGCACAGGATACTCAATGCATGACTTGTATTAGTGGAAGAATGTGTTAATGAACTCCTTTGGCAAGAGATAAAGTGTCCAAAAGCAAATGCCAAAGAGGGCTATGGGAACAAGGCAATCAGGTGTTACTTGGCCAGAATACTCTCCCAGTCACCAATAACTGGCAGTTCAGGGACTTCCTCACCTGAATGTGGTTTCTGTAGATTCAGTAATCCACAATGGATTTCTCTTCTGTGAGCTTGTCCTTGGACCTCATGCAGACTTTTAGCATTTACAGTGTCCTTTGCAAAGAGTTGTATTTCTCAATTACATATTTGCACCGGCCAACCTCCCTGTGTTGGGTATTGAACCTGACTCCCTTCCACTGGTTTCACTTGATGTGTACCAGTACTGAAAGGGACAGTGAACAACGTATGTTCTACTGCATTGTCCCTCAGTTATCCCTTGTAAAATTAATAATATTCACAAGTGTACTAAGGCTTCTAAATTTAGTAGGCTTTAAGAAATAAATAACATCAAAAATTGTACTATTTAACCCATTCAGACTTCATATTGGACAGTGCAGTAGGGTATATTTTCTTTGAATTACATGATGTAATGTTGGATTAAGTATTTTACAAGCTTTTTAACACACAACGGAGTTGTTGGTGAGTCAAGTTTAAAACGCATCACAGGCTTCTAAGTATTACAATGAAGAGGAGTCCATTTTACCAAAAAGAGATGACAAAACTTTAAGAGTGAATGTGTTGGGTTGTTTTTTGGGTTTTTTGTTTGTTTGGGTTTTTTTGAGGGGAAGGGCGGGGGGGTGCACAACAAACAGCCAAACACGTTGGCATCCGCGTGAGACAAGAAAAAAATTACTTTTACTCAGGTACTATGTATCCAACATCTCTTGTAATGAACTCTGTGTGTGCTAGTGATGATGCATATGAGGGGAAAAATACAGCTTCTAATAATCCAAGAATGTTTAGCAGCTGTCTTCTGGAGTGAAGGTTCTTGTAGTTTGAGCTATATATCTTAGTTTGTAATTTATTTTTTTTTTGGAGCAGAGCCTATATGAATTGTTTAACTGGAAGCCAATTCACATGATTGAGATGTTGTTCCAGTTGGAAAGTGAAAACATTTTGGATGATAATTAGCTGTTAAGGTCTGACATTAGAACATTCCCAAAGACTGATTGTTAATGTAGTTGTCCCACAAAATTCTCCAGGGAGACTGCATTTCTGACTTATTTCATCTGTTGCAGAGGGAAGGAAACACATTAGGAAAGGCTCCTTTGGCAGAAAAGAGATCAGAGTTTTAGAAGGTATCAAGAGAATTCTTAAGCATATCTTATCTGAGAGAAAAACATAAAACTCAATAAGTAGTGAGTGTTCCCTGATGGAAATCAACAAGGAGGGAAGCCAACACTTATTTTTTACCAAGCACTTTTTTTTAGAGTTATAAAGCTTTTATTGTCCAGTCAAAAATGTAAAATAAGCAATTTGGTATTCAGATTGTAAATGCTATTGTTTATTGTTACTTTACAGGAAAAACTGTTTAGCTTGCACTTATTCCTTTTTTGAAGACACCCCACCACTGCCACCAGAATAAAGATTTTTCTCTAGCATATGAGATAACCTTAAGCTTCTAAAAATCTCTTTAAATAGCAGAGATCAATTATTTAGAACATTAGCATCCCTTTGTGGCTTCTGAGGAAAAAAAAAATGCCGTGTCATCCTAACAATTTTTTCTTAATTCCAGACTTCTGAACTGGGTGTCACAGAACATGTAGAAGGAGATCCTTGCAAGTTTGCTCTATGGGTTGGAAGGACACCAACTTCAGACAACAAAATTGTTCTCAAGGTAATTTTAGCAGATGTGCTCGTACAGTCTATACTAAGTCTTGTAACTGTTGTTCATACTTGTTGGGAAGGCAGCAAGTGATGACTTTTCCTGCTTTGAGAGGGACAACTGCTGACAGATAATTTTCCTTTGTGTGTAAAGGACGTGGTATATACCGAACTCGCATGACTTGACAGCAGGGCGGAATCTGTGTAGGCTCCTGAAGCATTAAACAAGCTTGCCCTAACAAATCAGAATAAGGAGAGGTTTGATCCCATGGACTTCTATAGCTTGAAGATTTCAGCCACTAGCTGACAGAGCAACTGATATACCACAGACAAATCATGACATCAGTGTTACATTTCACACTCGTTGCTGCTTGTTGGTGATGCTGTTTTTCATGTCCCATATTTTTATGCAGAAATTGAAACACTTCAAAAGATTTTTATGTCTTTCTGTGGGCTACAAGTTTTTCTGAAGATACTTGCCTTTGGATGAGAGTGCATGCAATGCATATAAATTTTGTGTCTGGGGAAGTTACAGGTGTCAGTAGTGTTCTGTGCCTAGCTAGAAGAATGACTAAATCCATTTTTCCTGTGACTCTGATGTCTGATCTGGGACCTTCTGTTTCAACTGGAGAGCTTTCTTGTAATACCACAAGCAGCTAATGGGTAATTTGATATATTTTGAGGACTGTGTAAGTTTTGAAACTTTTCTTTTATATCTTTTAGCTGTGTTGAGTGGAAAAACGTTCATCTTCCCATTTGCAAGTTAATACACCTACTATTAAACTTGTTTATGTTTTCACATATATTTTTGGTGATTACTCAACACTTAAAAATGACCACTCAAATTTATGTGTTTTCCTAGTGAATTACAGGCTAAGAGCAGCTCACGTTAGTCTTCTGACAGCAGTCAATGAGCGCAAGGAAATTAAATGTAACATCACTGAATAATACAATTTGTTCAGTCTTAATGCTCCCATAGTTTCACAAACAGTGCTTTGCAGCCTGAAATGATCCTCGCAGGGTTAAAGTAGTATAAGGGGTTTTGTTTAAGGCTCTCTGCATAAGATCACTTTAAGGTCATCCTGTTCTCTTCTTTACTTAGAGCATAGGCTATTTATGTAACTTGTATGGTATATGAAGCTTTTCAACAATTTTGTTGATTTTTTTTTTTTTAATTTGGTTTTGAAGGTTGGAAACTAGCACTTCCTTAGCTTATTAGTATTATAAGTAAATTCCATGAAAACCTAAATTAAAGATTTAACAAAACTTTGTGTTCAGCATCTTTTCCTAAATGTTTTTGTTTGTGAAAGAAATCAAAGATCTTTTTCCTAACTGTTCATCTGTTCCTGCAACTTTCTCCATCCCTGGCTATTAACTATTTATATTATATTAAATATTCATAATATATTCAAAGCCAATTATTTCAGGAGATGACAAGAGAAGTAGGAAGTTATATATAATAATTTTTTTAGATCTGCAATAATGTTTATTTTTAATAGCATTTGAGATGTAGGGTTAAATTGGATTTAAACAATCAGATTACAGGTTGACCAGCTGGATATCAACTCTTTTCCAGGGTATCTCAAAAATATAGATGATATGTTGCAGGCAGTTATTAAAATACAATCCCTAAATTAGTTTTCTGCTTCCAGATATGTTTCAAAAGTGGGAAGAGTAATGCATGAAATGTGTTGTGGAAGTATATGTGTTGGAGGATAAGTTCATTTTTCTTTCAATGTTAGCAGATTATTATATAAAGTTAGAATTGACCTAAAATGTAGCATGAGTTTAAAATACTAATGTTCAGAGTGTTATTACTGGAATTCTTTAAGTAAGTCAATCCACCCTCTCTTGCATGAGATGTATACAGGGCTTTAGCTTTCAAGTTACGAAAGAAGAATCTGGATCTAAATTTAAAAGTTTTTTAAATTAACAATATTAATAATGTTGAGAAGTGTAAATTAGTGTTGGCAATTCAAAATTAAGATGACTAGCTTGAATTTCCTTTTCTCTGTTCAAGTTTTCAAAAATGATTCACACAGTCATTCTTTATGCCTTCCTCTTTTGTTTATTAGCTGACTGTATGTGTGGATCTTCTCAGCTGTAATAGTTCATTGTGGGGGTTTTGTTTCTTTTGCATATCAAAGGCGTCCAGTATAGAGAATAAACAGGACTGGATCAAACACATCCGGGAAGTGATACAAGAAAGGACCATTCATCTGAAAGGAGCATTGAAAGAGCCGATCCACATCCCCAAAACCGCACCAACAACAAAACAGAAAGGAAGAAGGTAAGTAGTATTTAAAATAATCAGACATCTCTAAGTACAAAAAAAATTTCCTCTGTAGTATTGAATTTCTAATGACTTTCGGTGAATTAGACAAAAACAAGAGTCATTTTGGCCAGCTTTCTCTTACAATTAATTTCCAGTTTCCTGCAATAGTGAATTTGTTGAGATTTCTGCTCTGAAGAGTCCCTGACTTGTGTACATTCAGCTGTTACTGAAGGGTTTTGGAACTGCAGTACAGGATAGCTGTACATTTTAGATGTTTATAATTATGCATGTGTTATTCATGTCCTTGGTTTCCTTTTGTGAAGCTTAAAATGTGTGACTGAGTGTTCTGCTTGCTAGCTTTGGCTAAGTGGCTATGCAAGTTTCTTACCATAGTTCTCGCTGATTGTTGCCTTAATTCTATGTGATGTAGACCTTGAGCAAACAATCTGTTCTCTTAAAGCGCAGAACGTATTAGGTGCTGAATATTTGATTTTTCATCAGTTAATTTGGCTGGCTGGTGTCTGTTGCCACACTGTCTAGCTGCCCCTTCTTTAAAGTTGCAAGTAGGGAACTAACATGTTACAAACACAGTGCTAATATCGTAATGGAAACTGAATTACTTGCAGAGACGGCGAGGACCTGGACAGTCAGGGAGATGGTAGCAGCCAACCTGATACTATTTCGATTGCCTCACGAACCTCACAGAACACGCTAGACAGCGATAAGGTAAGTTTCCCAGGTATTGCTCTGTTCTGAGAGCAAATGATTCATCTCCTAGTGTGAGTTAGAGCCCAAGATTAGTCCTTAGTACCTTCAGAGAGGAGGCGTGGAAATATTCCATCTCTTAAAAATAGCTGTATGCAATAAAGAAAATATCTTGATACCATGGGGGAGCAGGGGTGATTGTTTAAATCTAATAGGTCATGAAGGAATTATGTTTGTTCCAAACAGAAACCATTTTGATTCCCTCTCTTCTGTAGTTTGTTCACAGATTTGACCCAGTTTAAAAAGAAAGTTTTATTTTACATAAAATTTGATACTCATGCACAGAATTTTTCTTGATGTTGGTCTCAGCCTTTCTGAAAGCATACCATCTGCTTTTTGTATTAGCCTGAGATTGGTGGTCGCCATGTGCTTGCTTTTGTGAAGGAAAAATACTATCCAGTGTTCACGGGTTAGAGAGTAAGAGTGTTCATTTTCTGCATGACAGCTGACAGGAATCACCATATTAAAGAGGAGTAACCCACAACACTATCATTTGGTACTAGTGCTAGTGTTTCCTTTCCTCCATCTCTGCCTATAGATTCTGGCTGGGTAATCTCATAAGGATAACACAGCCAGAGTTTCTCATGGATGGAACAAGGATAGGCATCAAAAGAGTAAAAATTATTTTGAAACATGTGTGTGTTACTTTGGAATTGAAAGAAGATTTCTGGCATGTGAGAAGTGTTAGAACCTTGGAGGGTGGTAGAGATGGATAATAGAAGTTTGTCAAACAGAAGAATGAATAAAAACATAGAAGCTGCATAGCAAATTACTTGAAAATGTGATTAGGGATTCCTGGCCTATTGGGTAAAACTGTTCTGATGAGCCATTCGAACTATACAGGTAAATAACCAGTATATTGCAGGGCAGCTAACTGAATAGGCTCTTAGAGTAATATTTTGACCATTCCCATCATCATCCAAAACAGAGTTTGTTTTCTGTATTTTTGCATGTCACTTAAACTCTGTGGTTTGATTTTTTTCCATGTAAAGAAGAGGAAGACAGAGAAGGGAAGTATAAGGTGCTCAGGGTTGCCCTTGTATTTGTCAAAAATAGCCTATGTTTTGACCTTGTGCATTTGTACTGAAGTTGGTCTGTAGTTTTGGTGGCAGTTTCTTCTAAGGATATCTGAGAAATATGGCTGGTTAGAGCAAAAAAAAATAAGAGTCTTTCAATGACTCTTGTTTTGATATTTTATGTTTTGCATTCTTACTTAGCTACTTAGCAATTTACAAAAATCATGTTGTGTATACTAGCAAACAGTTTAGTTCATTTTTCTTGCGTTCTTAAGAGTTCAGGTAATCTATCGTGCTCAAAAGCAAGACACGTTCTCTCTTGTTTCCCTGATGGCTGAGACATCAAGCTGTGTGCATGCAGCCTGGCTGGGTTGTGCTTCAGTTCAAATGGAGGTGATGCAATCCATCCCTGCCATGCACAACCATTGCCCCGTTGCCCCTCTTCAGTTGTTTGTGAAGTACTGTTTACTGGGGAATAGCATGGTTTGTCTCTTGTTGCCCTTCACAGTAATATTTCAGGCATTATGTCAAAATTGCTGAGAAAGTTGGCCAAGTGAAATGCCCTCAGGATTGCCTTCCAATCTGACATGAGGAGGAGTCTTACCAACAACCTGTTCAACAGGAGTTATAAGTAAAAGAAGGAGGAATAGAAGGAAGGAAGAACGGAGAATACTTTTAAATATTTTCCTGACAAATTAAGTTTTAAATTTGGTTAGTGAGCATAGAGTTATTTTTAAAGTATATTTGAGTTCTCATGTTAGTGTATAAAATTTTTGTTAGACTTTTCATTGACAAGAAAAACAGACTGAAATCTGGGACACTCCCTAGGAGTTACTTGTACTATGCATTGTATGTCCAAGGAAGGAATTTACTGTTCATGCCCTTTTAAAAAGTGTATGAATTAACAGAGTAGCTTTGTTTAATGTTTCTATTGTATGTTTTGGTTTGCTAAATATATTAAGAAGAGAAATTTTTTAATCTGTTTAAAAATACAAAATAAAAATTATTAAGGAACAGTAACAGGCAGAAGGCCAATGAAATCTGTAGGATATCTTAACAGTCTTGCTGAATCTGAAGTAATCTCCCACTTTGTGTGTTGAAAATTCATTAGCTGCAGTCCATTTGGGGTTTAAAATTGACCCTGTTTTCTCAGCCTACAAGCTTGAAATATGTATGAATGTCTTACAGAAATGGAGTAAAACAGTTTTACGGATTTTAGGTGCTGTTGATGTGGTTAACCAGATGGAGCAGTGAAACTCCTAGGTCGAATTTGGAGCATGTCCCAAACTGAGCTGGGATTCCAAATTGAGAAACATTAAAAATATAAAGTAATTTAAAACAGTGTTAATCAAGTGGTAAAAATGTTCAGCTCTGTATTACTTATTATGCTGTTACTGAACATTTTTCTGTTCATGTGTATCCACTATTGTGATTAAGACGACAAATACCAAACATGCCATGCTAATCAACAGCCAAGTAAAACCATTCTTTTATTTTCTCCAATTATATGTTCAGACAGTTGGTTCTCTTAAAATAAATGTTTTGGCTAGAAGTGCTAAGCAGTTATACAGGGAGAGTATCAAGAATGAAATCCTTTATCCAAAACTCAATACTCTCTCACCTCAGAGATAAACTTTGAAAGAGCTACAAGTCCTTAGACTTGGTATGAAGTGGCTGAGTGTTGTCCAGATGAGCTTCTTTCCTTGCAAAGATATTTCCTTGGAAATACCTTAACAACAGAGAATAACTTCATGATTAGGTTTTTCCTTCTCCACCCTGGCCTTTTGTGGTAGAATTGTAACTTCTGGTTGTTGGCTCCACTGTTGCATGCTGCTTTTCAGTAATGACTGGGATGATGCAATAGACCATATGTTTATAAAGCTGACATCCTTCCCAGCTTCATATCATCTGAAAACTATATTGGAAGGCAGAATTAGAATTCAGAATCATCTTGGCGAATGGGAGAAATTTATTGGCAAAATACCATGCAATTTCATTGGAACACGTTTGAGCTAATGTGAATAGGTGGAAATAGTTAACTAGTAATGAAAACAGTGAGAGTACTGAACAGTTTTTGAGAAGATGATCTAGAAACTATAGAGGATCAAAAGCTGTTTATTATTTTAACAGTATGATGCAATTATGGGACAGAGGGAGGCAAGCAGCTCTAGTTGGCTTGTAGAAATAGGATGCTGAGCTGCAGGACACAAAGTCCTCATTCGTTTCTCGGCACTTGTAAGGCCTCTGTTAGATACCACATCCAGTTTTGAGTACAGAATTTTAGCAAATTAGCCATCCATTGGAAGAGTTCCAGGTGGAAAGAAGGGGGCGGGGGGGGGGAAGACTGATTAGACATCTATCAAATGTAACTTGGAAGGCAAGATAAGGTGTTGGCACTAATAAGTCTAAAGAAAAAAAGGCAGGAGGAAGAACTTCAGGTTGTCAAGTGTGTAAAAAGCTACTACACGGAGTTAGAGAACAGTCTTTTACCCATATTTTCAGTGGATGGGTTGAGATCAAAAGACTTACCCATAATAAAATATTGCAATAGGGTTTTTTATGGGTATGAAAATGTGAAGCCCTAGAGCAGAGTAATTGTGAAGGTTGGGGAATCTCCATAACTGCAGATCTTTGAGAACAGTTTGGATAAATGTTAATCATGATTCACACAGATGTAGCTGATCATGCTCTAGAGGAAGAGAAAGAAGTGGACTAGGTAACTTGAGAGCCCTTTCCAGCCTGTTTTTAATACGGGGTCTATCTTCATATTGCAAGCCATGCTAAATATATCCACAGCACTGATCCATCCTGAAGTATTGGAAGGTATAATGGAGTCCAGAGTGAAATATAAAATTTTTTGAGAGGAAGATTTCTACTCCATCAAAGCATCTCAGTTTTCTGAATGAATGCTGTTATTGTACCCTTCTCAGTAAATATTTTGTCCTTCACCTTTGGCCGCATTCCTTCCATTCACCTTCTGTAGCTGTGTAGCCAGCATTTTAGGTGGCTAACAAATAAAAGAGGTGACACTTGGCCCATTCATTCCACTGTTTGACAGTTCCTAGCCTTAGCGCTTGATCTGATTTTAATGTCGTCTTTTGAACTTGAGCCAATGCATAGGAAATGAAATGGGGAGGCTGAAGGAAACAGTGTAGGTCTGATAGGTCTTTTCATGCTTGTATTAAGTGAGCTGGTAGAAACATGAAATAATCGAAACTACTATTTTGGTAGCTGAGAAGATGAGAGGCTTTTAGAAGAAGAGTTGTCATATGGTATTATCCTAAATAGTAGGAGTTTTGCTAGCTGCTGTGGGTGGTCAGTGGAGCAATATTTTATTTTTAAGAAATTATCTTTTGTGCCCAGCTGGTAACACTTTGTACTGCTGTCTGTGTGTAGTTGTGTTTCATTCTCGTGGTCCTTTAAGGTTGTGTGTAGAACTTTGGAAAACAGAAAAAGGACTGAAGCAGCAGGAGACAGCCATGTATTTAGTTCTACCAGCTGGAACTGCAGGAGAGAAAAGGCTCCCATCAGTATTAAAAAAAAAAACAAAACACAACACACTAGGAAAAAACCAGACATGGCTCTGAGTATACACCTCTGTTCAGAATCAGAAACCAAGTCTGGGCAGCTACCTGGTCGAAGCAAAATATTCTTTGAGACAGAACTTTTGTGTATCTCCCATTTCTTTCCTCCCACAGTGCACTTCTTTCCATTTTAAAAGGGGATTAAAGATTTTCATGCTTGAAATAATTGAGAAATCTTATTAGCTGCTCTCTTTCCTTTCCCTTCTCCTTAATGTGAAATTACCATGGGACAGTAAATTTAATTTGCAGTCCTGAGAGGAGGTTGTATGGCCTGATGTAAAGGCTGTTGTACGTTGCAAAACTCTTGTCAGTGGTGATGATACTGGTGGCAGATGAACATTTCGTGTGGTGTCTCTGGCTTCAGCAAAGCTACACTAAGAACATATTCAGCCATTGAGTGTGTGTTATCGTTTTTGGTTTCTTTTTTCTCTCTACAAGCAACAGTGATTAAAAGGCCCCAGAGAGATGAACATAGATGGTTAACATGAATTTCAGCAACAGCAAGACACTATGTCCCATGATAAGCTGTTTAATTAAACCTTGCACCTTTTTAATCTGTGGTTCTATTTCTGTCTGGCCTTTGTTTTCTCATCTCGTTTCTGTCTCTCCAGTTTCCATGTTTCAGACATAGCCTCATTTATTTTTATCATGCATGATTAATTCAGTTTACATAAAGGGTTTCTTGAGAAGGATGGATAAAGTATATAAAGCCCTTGTTCAGCCTAAATTTGGATTTAGATGGTTTGCAACTCTTTTCTCTTCAGTGCAAGTCAGTCTCCCAGTTCTGATGTGCCTCTTGCTCTTCCCTCCAGCCAGCCTAGAGAGCCTTGCCAAAGCTGTCCAACAACAGCTGTTGAGCAGTGTGCTTAATCACAGACACTCCTTGCTGTCTAACTGCATTTAATTAGTGCGAAAGATGAAACTGCTTTCAGAAAGTGTATTATAGAGAGAAAACAAGCAATGAAACAAAGAGGAAGGCAGTGTTTCTTAACCATTACTGTTGCGGGGAGAAAGAAGGGTTGTAATCCCAAAGGAGGGGAAAATTGGTAAAGGCTTTTTTGGTTGGTTCTCCATAATGACGTAGATGTGTGTTGGGTAGAGAACATCATTGTTTTCAGTGTGTTAGGCAGTAGTGGAGAAGTCCTGCACTAAATTGCATCTAACAGCATTAGTACATGTTTGAGGATGGTGTGGAACTAACAATTGCGTGTGGGAAGTGTCTTACACACTGTACTGAAGTGTGATTGAATATTGAATTTCAGTGGAATACTGACCAGCTAGGATTTCTTTTGTACTTTAATAGTTTCTGACATAGCCACTGACAGCCTTTGTTTGCTTTTTCCTTTAGTTTAACACTATATAAAATGCTCAGTGAACATAAAATCTGAGATGGTTTGGTTTTTGTTTTTTTTAATTAGGAGAAGGAGAAGAAAGAACACCTCTATTAAAGCCAAAACCATGTGGCCATTACACTGGTCACAAAGTATATTTTAATCTCTATTTGTAGGAAGTGAAGGGTCAGGAAAGCGAGCAGAGCACCAAAGCTATACTCCTGTAGGTATTTAGGAGAAAATACAAAGACTAGATGCAGTTTCTGGAAAGTGTCAACTTGTTACTGTCTTAGTGCTTGCACTGATTGGGGTATGGACTCTCCTGAGACAAATTTGGTCTGCATTGGACACCTTGTGAAGTCATACTTCATCAGCTTTTTTCTTAGTCCCCATCAGGCATACAGATGGTTTCAATTGTTTCTGAGTTTGTCTGAAGAAGGCTGTAACATAAATCAATACCAGAAAACAAGGGAAAGCTCTTTTCTTTTTCCCCTTTGGCATAGTTCTGCATGGACTAAAAACTAACATAATATGGAGAAAGAGGGAACAGGAACTTTTTAATGAGGGTGGAGGTAGCTTGGTTTTAAGGTGTACTTCCCCCCCACTCTCTGTAATTTGGGTACTGGGGCTGTCTGGAGAGATGTAGTAGAAGCAATGTGACTAATTTTTAGCCTGGATCTAAATAGGTGCAACCTGATTTATCTTCCTTATACACTAGCTGTATGAGGGGTTTCTGCCCTTCTTGGACCCTTCATTCCCCCAAGAAAACTTTCTTCTCTGTATGCGCACACAAGCAAGGGTAGTCAGTGAGATTAGCAGCCAGATACCATGGGAAAGCTCTGCAGTTACTGCAGACCATCTGCTAGGAGTTATATCCTATTGTTTGTTGCAGGCTTGAGGAAGAGGTTGGAATTAACCTTTGAGTTTTACTGGGGTTTTGCTGGTTTTGTCATTTGCTCTAAAATTCTTGCTTCATAACAAATAGTGTTATCCTAGAAAAGTTTCTATCTGGTGCTTCAGTTCCAGGCTTGTAGTGAAAACTAGTAAGTCAGTAACAATGCAGTCTCTTATCCCCTTTTCCTAAAGCTCATGGCATGTAGCTGGCAGCCATGTAAGAGCCTAAACATAATAGTCAAAAATAACATGGCAGGAACCGTGCAGTATATTGGTATAGCACATGAATCTATATTTGCTGCAGTTGGAACCCTTACAGAGTATTTGTCCTCCTTTGTCAGCGCAGAGCATTGCAGGATTACCTCACTGAGTTTGAAGGATTTTACTGACTTGGTCCAAAATTACTGAATTCACAGAAGCTGCATGCCTGCTGAGATCTGATATGAACGTTGCACTGAAGCAGCCTGAGCTATAGAAATACTCAAGCACAAAAAGCTGAAGTAGGCTGGAACGCCATCGCCCTGTGGAAGGAGAAGGAATTCCAGGGCTGTTTGCTTAAGTTGAATGGGTGCTCTGGCACTGGGCAATCTTGAGAACTTTGCAAAGTTCTGATAATTTTCATTTCACATCAAAGCAGATGAAACAATCAAAGAGAGGAAACTTAAGCTTAGGCAAAGTAATTCTAATGAAGTGTTTTGAAGACAGGGAGGAGAACCCTGAGCTTGCATGCTTTTAATTCAGGTTTGTGTGGTTTTATTTGGGAAATCAGCAAAAATGTGAAAGTTGTATGCCCGTGTGGATTTTCTATCAAATAGTTAAGTATTTGGGAATCTTACGTGAAGACCTTTATGCTGATTTTTATAATTCTGTATGGTGTGTCCTCGATGATTTTGTGACCTGCCTACGTAAACTTTGAGTGGGGTGGGCATAAGGCAGTAAGCTTATTCAGAAAAGGTCCCTCTTTCTGCCTTGAATTTGCAAGATAACAAAGCTCATGAGTGACTGTATTTAGTAATACCTGACTTTTTGTTGCCAGTCATCACCCATACAGTATATTCTGAAGCGACTGCTACTTCAGCTTTTGGGGTAAGGAGCAGTCTAGCAAGAAAAACCACTTAAATCCTCCACCCAGCACTGTCACAACCAGTGTGCTTTGAACATAGGCAGAGACAAGCCAAGTTAGAAATCTGTTCTAAAACGCCAGAACTGCCTGATTTTGAAATGATCTCTTCTTGATGTGGAAAGTCCTAGAAGCTTGCTATCTCATCCCAAATACGAATCCTGCCAGGAATCCTAAATAGGTAACGGTGCGTGACGGATGGTTTGATAATGAGCATTCATCTGGCTTCTCCTTCTTGTTTTTCCCCTCACAGTTGTCTGGTGGGTGCGAGCTGACGGTGGTAATCCATGACTTCACCGCCTGCAACAGTAATGAGCTGACAATCCGCCGTGGGCAGACCGTGGAGGTCCTGGAGAGGCCCCATGACAAGCCCGACTGGTGTCTGGTTCGAACCACAGATCGGTCCCCCGCTGCAGAAGGCCTGGTCCCCTGCGGGTCCCTCTGCATCGCTCACTCTCGCAGTAGTATGGAGATGGAGGGGATTTTTAACCACAAAGGTAAGAAATGATGGAAACAAAGTCTAGTTGTCAGCAGCGCGAGGTTTTTTGTGATGAGGAGTACTGTGCAAATGGGAACTTTGGTGTTCTTGCGCTGTTTTGGTTTCTAGTTTTTAATTACATAAAACACAGTGCTTTTAGCAACCTGCAGCCATGCTGTTTATTCTAAAATAAGCAGTCGGGAATTCTCAGTGTTAAGTGAAAACGTGGCTGAAGACACAGAAGAGATTTAAGCAAATTGTATCTTGGTGAACAGAGTTATATCATGTTAGATCAAACTGCGATGATAGGAAAATCTATACCCATCGTATGCTGAAAGAGGGGAGGGAGGAAAACCTCCAGCATGCGTTATCAATGGTTCCTGAGAAACCCTGCAGTAAGAAGTCATGACAACATCAGGCTCAGTCATGGAAAAGGTAAATACATGCATCCATATGCCCTGGCACAGGAATTGGCTATTTGGACTTACGTATTTTACTTAACTGCATTTTCCAGAGTAGCAGTGACACACTCATCCCTTTTTTCCAGAGCAGCTCTGAAATATTACTTTGTTTTTTTCACATGCATGAAAGAATGTGCCCCAAAAGGTGCAAGAAATATCTGATTTTTTGGGGGAAGTTTTTAATGTTTTGGTGTGCTGTAATCCTTTGGCCTCATAAACTCCCCAGGCTCACAGAGTAGTTCGTTACTAGAGAAAATGCTTGCTTGCTTTGTTTGAAACTACTTGAGTTTGCAGTCTGTGAACAGAAAGCTATGTGAACTTTAAAAAAAAAAAACCAAACTCCACACCAGAAAAACAGTTCATTAGAAGGTGTTTCATCACATGCTGGGGGAAAGGGTGCATTTCAAAATGTTTGTTATTACAAGTAACAAGATTAGCAGGAAAGTGGTGTTGGGGAAAACTTGTTTTCCAAAACAAAAAATTCTAGTTTTGGAGAGTTTTTCATAAATATAACTACAAATTTTTCCATTATTCAGTCCATCCCAGCTATCATGTTACAATTTTTATCAGATAATTCAGACACTGTGTAAATATGTTTGGCTAAAAGAGGGGAGAGTTTGTTTCTTACATGAGGAGCATGCACAGCAGGAACTTCCTGAATGCAGGGTGTTCGGGGGGGGGGGGGATTCGAAGGGGTGGAGGGGTGAGG